AGCAGGGAGCCCGATGCGGGACTCGATCCAGGGATTCCAGGATCATGACCTGAGCCGAAAGCAGTCGCTTAACCAACTGAGCCACCCAGGCGCCCCCCGAACCGTTTCCTTACCCGCAGGGGCTACGCCAGCGCGGACCATCCAAAAGACGGCCGGACAGACACGGGCCTCAGACGCTGGCCACGGGGCCTGAAGGGAGCACGGTGCTCGGCCCGGCTGCCGCCAACGGCCTGTGCCCCGGCGCGGGGAGCAAGCGTGCGCGGGCTGGGGCGCGCGCGTTCCCGATGGGGGCCGCACGCACGGCCGGACCCGCAGCTCCCGGCCCTCCGGCGCCGCCTCCGCGAAGCCCTCCTGGCGCCGGGGCTGAGCCAGTCCTGAGTCCCCCAGCCCCTTGACTGGAACGTCTGCGCCCCCTTCCCTCGGCCTGGGGGCGGGGGAACCTTACAGTTCGTTCACCTGCCCATCCCAGCGCCCAACCAGAAACAGTAGGCACGCAGAAGGCGCCTACTCTGTGAACCCCCATGGCAGGGCAGGCACCCTGCGCGAGGACAGCAGTGACAGCCGCGGTCGCTCCATTCTGTGCTGGGCCTTCTCATGAACTCCTGGTTCCATCAGTGCCCAGGATAAATGCTGCGGCGCCGGAAACCAGAAAGGATGGGGAAGCCATATACGGAAAGAGCTGAGGGAGTCCCCCCTCCCCTCGAATGCCCTCGTGGGCGGGGCCCCCAGAGCTCCGGGGATCTGCAGGGGACCAACAGACGCCTTGGCAACACAAGCCACAGTGTTGCAGCAACAGGCCAGTAGGTAAGGCGGCACTGCACCTGGGGAGGCCAGAGTCCCTTCTGTCTATGGAGCATGCAGCAGCCACAGGCCCCAGGCCAGCGCCCCGACCTGGGGCCAGTGAGAACGTGAGTCCCTCCAGGACACTTCTGCTTCTGCCATGGGGTCAGGGGTCCAGCCTATACCCTCAGAGGCCAGGAGAAACTGCCCTAGCTCAGGCAGTGTGTGTGTGGAGGGGGTATTGGGGAGAGGGGAGTGCATGGCTGGTGGCTCCTTGGGAGTGGAGTCCACTGCCCAAGCCTGAGACCCAACTGGGGGGGGGGGTGATGCCTCTCCAGGTTCTGCCACAAGCGGAGGACTGGACAACCAGCCTCAAGACAGAGCTTCCCTCAGATCTAGAGCTGAGTGAGGAGCACCAACTGCAGGTGGGTGTGGGGGCCCTAGAGTGCTAGCTAGCAAGAGGGAGGGTCCCACAGGCACCACCTCTTACCCTGGCCACCCACAGATCTCCAAGGAGTTGGTCGACCTGCAGATCACAACGCATCACCTGCGGGAGCAGCATGAGGCTGAACTCTTCGAGCTGAAGAGTGAGGTGGGTGCTGGTATGTGCCCACATGTGCCAGCCCGAGCACATGGGGGGAGGGTGCATACCTAGGACCAGTGCTGTGAGGGGTCCAGGTACACCCATGTGATTGTACACACTCATGCAGTGTCTGTGAGTCCCCATGTCTCCTGTGTGTGCTGTGTGTCCCTGTATGTACCCAGATGATGTTGACCTACCCTGGGTGACCTGGCAGGCAGGTGCACCTGCTCACCCTGGTCACCCTGCAGGTCCTACGGCTGGAGAGCCGGGTGCTGGAGCTGGAACTGCATGGTGATTGTGCAGCCCCCCCAGAGGCTGGCTTGGGGCACCACCAGGAGCTGGCCCAGGGGCTCCAGCACAAGGCCTGGGAGCAGGGACACTCCGTCCACCACAGACCTCAGGTCACCATGAGTGCATGGAGGGCCTGGCTGGGTGGGAGCCCAACAGGGGTGCAGCAGAGGCACAGTGAGGTTGGGACCGACTCTCTCATACAGGCACAGCCTGAGGACTTCCTGATCCCTAGGGATGAACAGCAGAAGCTGGGGAACAGCGTGAGTGTGCAGCCACCTAGCCTGGGGATCTGTCCAGATTTCTCCCAGCCCAGGGTGGTGTTGGGCAGTGCCAAGAACCCAGAGCTTGTGTACCCCGCAGCTGCAGGGAGAATGGAAGCGGGTGCTGGAGCAGCACAAGGCCCAGAAGCAGGCACTGGAGACACGTGTGTGAGTGGCTGCCTCACTTGGGATGGAGGGGATCCAGACCGCACCAGGCTCAGAGTGGCTTTTCCCAAGAGCAGAGGGAGTCCCCACCCTGGGCCCAGCGGAGCTTCACATGCTTGTCCGCAGGGCAGACCTGGGCCGGCGACTGCAGGGAGCCCAACAAGAGGCCAGGACAGCTGGGCAGCGACTAGCTGCACAAGCCATGGTGAGGCCCAGCCTTACCCACTTTGAGATCTAGTAGGTGGTGTCCTACAGTCTGCAAAGGTCCACCCTGTGGTGTGTCGGTTCAAGGCTGCCTCCACCCCCAGGTGTTGTCTGCCTGCCAAGGCCAGCTGCGCCAGTCTGAGGCAGAGAACGCCCAGCTGCAGTTGCAGCTCAAGAAACTGAACGAAGAGTATGCCGTCCAGCTGCAGCGCTGTGCCCGAGTCGTGGCCGTGAGCACCGGGTGGGGTGGCCCTGTGGTGAGAGGGAGGCCTCGCGTCCTGGGGAGTCCAAGCCCAGCCTGGGTGGGCCCGCCTGCAGCTCGGCCCCCTCCGCTCCGCAGAGGGGATTGTGGGAAGCAGTGTGCGCCCGGCAAGCCCCGCCCCCTCGGCCCTGGCCCCAGCCCCGCCCCAACCCCTCCAGGAGTATGCAAACGGCGCGGGCCGGGAGCCGGCCGCGGCAGCCCTCCGCACATTCCTAGAGACCACTCTGGAGGACATGCGGGCAGCGCACCGCCGCCGTGAGCAGCAGTTGGCCCGGGCTGCTCATGCCTACCGCAAACGCCTGGCAGATATGAGCCGTAGACACGAGGAGCTGCTGGCCGCCTGCAGGTGGGCCCCTCCCTGAGACGGGCACCTGGGGTGGGGTGGCCCTATGTGACTTGGCACGTGGCTTAGTGTGCGGCAGGTGCTGGCCGACTCCACTGGGGCAGCCGGGACCCCCAAAGCTACTTTTGATGCAGCCACCTCACACCTGGAGCCACTGTCTCTGCACCTGGTCTCCGAACTTGGCCACCCGGGAGCAGCCCAGGCCAGGCTGGAGACAAAGCTCCGGAAGCTCCAGGCCCAGGTGAGCTCTCCCTGCTGCCCTACACTGGCCTTGGAGCACAGCATCCCAGAACACACCCCAGGCCCATCCCAGGCTCAGCAAAGACGCCATCCCTGAGGAGCCTGCCTCATTCAGCCAACAGAGAATCCCTCCCACAGCCCACCAGGCTCATGATGCTGCTCTTGTTCCTACAGAAGGGGCCCAATGAAGCCTCCCAGGGGGGCACGTCAGAGCCACAGTGAGTACCCTGGGGTGGGTGGTGGGGGACCTGCAGGGAGATCATTCATTTATTCCCCCAACTCTAAGCCCTGGGTGGGGCTTTGGTTGCGGTGGTGAACAAGGTGGCCCATCTGTGCCCTTGGGTTTCGGTCTGTATGAGAGACATCAATAATCACAGAAAGCCAAGTACCTGGGTTAAGTGGGGCCCTGACAGGAGAGGGGCTCACCTTGAATGGGAGGGTCAGGGAGATCCCCTGAGAAAGGCACATTTCAGTGAGACCCAGGGGACCTAAGGATGAAGAGGTGTGGTGGATGGCCAGCAGAGGCCCTGGCCCCGGGACAGGACAGAAGCAGGCTGCCTGGTGGCTTTCGCAGCCCTTGCCTCTGGGCCTCCATGTTCCAAACTGTGCAATGGGCAGGGGCTGGTATCAGCTCAACTCCGAGTTTTGAGAAATAAACTCCTAGAATGGGGGGAGGCCCCCCATCAACATTCGTACAGCACCGGGGTCACTGTCTGGCCTCGTGGCTTAGCCCTCCGTGAGCGGTCAGTAGGCCCTCTGGACCTGGGCTGCCCTGCCCCCATGTACCTACTGATGGCTCAAAGGCCCAAGCAGGGCCCAGAGTGGCCAGGTGGGCCCATGCTGTCCTGACCTTGCTCCCAGCAGGCAAGTCAGTCATCTAAGTGCCCCAGCTTGAGCAAGGTGATTGACCAACACCTGGCCTAATGCTGGCCCTCATACCTGCCCCTCCCTCTCTCCTCACAGGGGCCAGGAAGCTGCATCCTGGGCCCAGATCCACCAGAAGCTCCAAGACTTCTCCCGTGGCACCCAGGTAATAGGCAAGGCCTGGCTGGGGGCCCCTTCTCACACTTTATCCAGCCTCATAGCTTATGCCCTCCCCATGGCAGGCGGAGCTGGAACGCGAGCGGGCGCAGCTGCTAGTACGGGCCACAATGGCTGAGGAGCAACTTTCTGAGCTACAGGAGTATGTGGGCCAGCACCTCGGCAGGTGGGCCTCAGTCCCAGGTAACAGAGCCGGGCTTGTGCACAGCCAGGCAAGTGACTAATCCTGACCCCTCCAAGCAGGTACAGACAGGAGATCCTGAGGCTGAGGAAGCTCATGGGTACAGAGAATGCGTGGAAAGTGGGGGCCACAGCTCCCATCAAGCCCCAGCACCCAAAGACCCGAAGCCGCTAGCCAGCTGTCACACTCAGAGCAGAACTCTTCACAGCCAGCATGGAGCCCTCCTCACAGCACCCTCTTGGGGGGGGTGGGGGGGTCATTCCACCCAGCCCTCCACCCAACAAGAGTCAGGACAGAGTCCACCGAGTCTTTATTGTGTCCAAATGGTCAGCCGCCCTGAGAATTGGGGGCCCCAGGGACTGACGCAGAGCTGGGTCCTGGGGAGGCCTGACCAGCCAACCCACCACTACGGACATCATAGGCCCAGACACGGTCCACACCCTCACCCATCACAGCCACAGGCTGCCACGTGGGGAGGGGGTAGCGCCCCGACACCACTCGGGCCCCTTGGGGCAGCTCTGCCTGCAGCTTGTCTTCCAGCAGTGGGAGCTGTGGGAGAGAGCAGAAGGGTAGGGTATACACAATGGAACACGGCTGCCCTGCCCATCCTCCTCCAGGCCCAGCACACACACGGAGGTTGGCCTGGGCCTCCCCTGTAGCTAGCAGACCCCAGACCTACCACGCTAGGGGCCAGGAACACTGACAAGTTGTGGCAGTCCCTCAGGTTCACCTGCAAGAGGAGGGGAGTAGAGCCCCGGCCAAGGAGGTCTGGTGGGCATGTGGGCACTGTGGCTTCCAAGTCCTGGCCCCAGCCCACGCAGGTGGCAGGGGAAGCTGGGGTTGTCAGCACCGTGGCCAACCAGCACTGGAAGTGTGGAGGTCAGGTGCAGGGTCTGAGGGGCTCCCGGACTCCCTGGGTTACCTTCCAGAGGTCCTCACGGCGGTAGCAGACGCTGCCGGCACAGCCCGCCCTCCAGGCATGCAGCCGAGCCAGCCCCACTAGCCACGGGTTCAGCTCGTAGCCCACAGCTGGGCGGAGACCGCACCTGTGGGCGGCCAGCACCTGTGGGCACAGGAGACTGTGGGGACCAGAAGGAGGTGCGCTGGCGAGAACACCCCCCCCCCCCCCCCCCGCCACACACACACACACTCCTTACGATCCTGCCATCGCCAGAGCCCAGGTCCACCATCTTTCCCGGCCGACCTCGCAGCAGCGACAACACGTGGTCCACCTGCCGCTCACTCGCACCGACATAGGGCACCTGGGCAAGGAGGCAGGCGAGGCTGGGTCCCCAAGCCTGAGTCACACGGCGGGGCGGGGAGGGAGGGCGCGGAGCCGGCCTCCGGAGCCTCCTGTCTGGGCGCAGGCGCCCTGCCCCACCTGCAGCCGGCCCCCACGCCCCGCTGGCCCCGAGGGGCAGCCCCCGGGCCCCACACCTGTAGCCGCAGCGGCACACGGCGGAAGCCGGGCTGCAGTAGCAGCGCCCACACGGCGTAGGCGGCCAGGCCTGAGCCCACCGCCGCCTGCAGCAGCTCCAGCGCGCCCAGCCGCCGCTCGCGCAGCTCCGTCAGCGCCTCGCCCGGTTCGTCCTGCTCCATGGCTGCGGGCCGCGCGGCTCAGGGTCGTCCCGCCCCAACGTCCCTCCCGGGCTCGGGTCCGAGACCCTCACGCGCCGGACGGGAGCTGGACGGCACCCTAGCCCCCACCCCGCGCCCACCCGGCTCCTAACGGAGACGCCGGAAGTGGCGGGGCGGAGGCCTCGGCTGGGCGCCGGAAGCGGCCCTCCCCTGGCGTTCCACCCGGGCCCGGGGCCCTTCCCGCGCGTTCCGGACCGCGGAACTTGGCCCCGCCGGGTCCCGCTCGAAGCCTGCGCTCGCCAGCCCTCTCGGCCCAGTCCGCGCCCCCCCCTGGCACGGGGACCCGTGGACCACACGTCCCCGCGCGGGGAGACGCAACAGAATCGCCGACCTCAGAGAGGGCTAGACGCTCCAGGGAAACGGGGTGCTGCAGCTCAAGGGAAGGGGAGCCCGGATTGGCGTGCCTGGAGCCCGGGGGGAAGGAGGCTTCTTTTCGGGGGTGGGGAGGCCGTCCCGGGGAGGCGCGTGTCCGCCCACAGGACACCCCGAAGGCCAGCCCAGCCAGGGGCAGGTGCAGGGAGGACACCTTCCGGCTCCCTCCCACAGCTGAAGGCAGTCAGTCCGAGTGCGCAGGGACTGGAGGCTGCACCGGGACCTGAGGAAGTTGGGCGCTCCGCTGAGAGGCAGGGTTGACCGGGAGATGGAGCGGACACTCCGTGAGCGTGGTAGGAGGGGAGCTGGCTCAGCCACGGGAGTGCGAGAAAGAGCCCCGAGAGAGGGAGACCACCTTCCTTCTCCAAAAAATGTCCGAACATATGTGATTCGAGAGGTGACTTGGCAAAGCCTGGCGGTGGGAGAAGCCAGCTGGGGAGACAGAGCCCTGAGCCAGGACCTCCTCCTCATCCCACCTGAGGCCAGGTGTCTCATGGATGGTAGGGACTTGGACCCATCCGCTGCCCTGGTCAAGAGCCTCGGCGTCAGACAATATAAACATGCCCAAGACCGCTGCCCCCACCCCCAAGTACAGACAGCCCTACGTGCCTGCCTGTACTTGGCCCCAGCAGCCACCAGTCCTGAAAGACAGGTGTCCCCGGGAGGCAGGGAACCCCAGTGCCCTGCTCCCAAGACCACTGGGGAGGGGGGGTGGCCCCACCTGGCTCATAGCATTCTGTCTCCTTTGGGACTGTCACAGGGCCCTCCCCAGAAAGAAAGGTTGTGTACTGGGCTCTAGGCTGGGCGTGCTTACATGGCACCCTGCTCTTGTGTCTTCTGTTCCTTGCATTATTGCCACGGCCTAGAGCAGCACCTGAGAGACACTCAATAAAAACGTGTTGACTGAATGAACGCACCCAACCCGATTCCTCAATGTACACCCCACAACGCTCATGTTCACATCCTGCACTCTGCTCCTCAGCCTTTGGGCACTGGGCAGCTGGGTGTGTACCCGTGCGAGTGCACATGCCCGGAGGTGCCCCACAGGCCAGTTTCCGTAGCCCATGGCCCCCACATACATGCTCACCCGCACCGTTTCCCCTTGGCCCCTTCCCCCAGGGCAGGCATGAAGCCCCTGGCCCAGGACTTTGAGGCATGTCTTGGAGCACCCTGGGGGCTCCTTCGGCCCTGTTAGCCATACCCACAACTGCCCTTTGTGCACTTTATGAACAGAGAACTGGATGCAAAGTCAGCAATTTCTCCAGGGAGGGTGTGTGCATGGGAGGCTCAGGCACTTCCTGGGGCAGGTGCGTAGAGACCACTGTCCAACCAAGAGCCCACCCCAGAGCAGCTGCCCCACGTTTTTTTAGACAGGTGGTCCGAGAGGCAGTCCACAGTGACCCCTAGTGTGGCCAGGCATCTCCTTCCAGTGAAAGGCTGTGGAGAGTTGACAGGACAGACACCAACTCAGGACAGACACCAAGGGTGAGGATGCTGCTTAGCCCTCGAGAGGAAGCCGTCCTTGGGGCCCGTCTGGACAGTGCAAAAACCTCCTGATAGGAGGAGGAGGATCAGAAGTGTACACTCATCTCCTCTGCTCTTTGCTAAGCTACTCTTTGGTGAGGGGAAAGGGGCAGACGGGGAGACAGCCATCTGCAGACCAGGGAAGAGGTCCAGGCTGGAGATCAAAATGTAGGGTCATCAGTATCTTGATGGTTTTTAAAGCCACAAGGGTGGTCCGGCTCTCCAGTGAGAGAATATTAACGGTGAGGAGGAGAGGTCTAGTGCCTGAGCACGGAGCACGGAGCACCCCATGTTTGGGAGTTCGGGAAGAAGGGAGCAGCAGTGAACTTCAGCAGGGGCAGGTGGACAGAAACCCACAGGAGCCTACCTCCCCTACCCATAATCGTCAGCCGAATCTGGAGGAAGGGGCCCTGCCTCAGTTCCTGCCTGAAAGATGACATGGCCTCTGGCCTCCATCCTCACTGTCAGCCCCTTCCTTAGTGTAGACTGGCAGGCAAGGATGGGACGCTGCTTCTGGGGCTCAGCGCATCAGCCCATGCATCCTCCCACCACAACCTGAGCTTTGGCTCTCTTGGGAAGTGTGGGGTTGGGGTGAGCAGAGGCAGCTTGTCCCCAGTTTAGGAGCCCCTGCATGCACCCCCACCCCAGGGGCATTCAGCCCAGGGCCCTGGGCTTTGTCCCAAACTGCACTGGCCTTTTGTGTGGCTGAGGCTGAGGAGGAAGGCAGAGGCAGCAACAATAGGGCCAGTGGCAGGAAAGGTTCCTTAGAGACCCCATCATATGCCCCTGCCCTCCAGAAATGGGCAACATGCCTGGCTCTACAGGGGAGACCCCACTCCCCCGAGGCTTCCAGCCATGTAGGGATGCTCTGCACATCGCAAGGCCCTCCGGACAGAGGGGCCCATTCTTCCCCGAGGCTGGGATGGGGCCAGGATGACTCTGCTGGGCTCCCAGTGGACTACAGCAAGAAGTCCAGCACCCTGCCAGATTGCAACCCCCTTCCCTCACAGGCTAGGAGTGGTGTCTGCCTACCTGCCCCCTACTAAGGGACCCCACCCACCTCAGACTTGGGAGTTACAGCCCTTTTCCACTCCCACTCCCACATAGAGGGGAGGCTCCCTGCTTCCCCCCAAGCCAAGCAGCAGCTCCTCCCCAAGGCACGGGCCTGGGCCATTCCCACTCACTAGCTGGGTGGCCTTAGACAAGGCACCACTGCCCTGAGCCTCAGTGTCCTACTCGGCAGCAGAAATCGGAGCAGTCCCAGGGCTGTGGAGGCTCAGAGGAGGTAAGGGCCAGCTCAGGCATGGGACACTCCATCTACGCGGGCTAAGGAAATCAGTGTTCTTATTGGTTATCACTCTCACCTCAGAAGAAGCTGGTACCACCTGGAGGCGACCCCTCCCTACTCCCCCTCGACCAGCCCCTCCTCAGTGCCCTGCTCCCAGGCTCCTCAGTCCAGGGCCACCTCACAGGGGTGGAGGTGGTTGGCGTGGGCAGCCGCAGAGGCACGGCTGAATTCCTGGAAGTGAGGTGCACAGCCCAGCCAGGCCTCACCGAAGTGGCTCCAGCCCATGAAGAGGAAGGGGCCGGGGCCGGTGCGGACACTGAAGTGCAGCGGGGTGTGAATGGAGGCCTGCACGTGGCCCCCGGACTCCCCCACCCGGAACAGTGGCAGTGTCTGTCAGAGGACACGGGCAGCCGCCACCATGGTAACAGACTCCTGCAGCTCTGTGTCGTGGCCAACGCTGTGGATGGTTCCAGTGATCACTGTGGGGAGACACACTGGCCAGTGGCATGCAGGGGAGGATGGAGGGTGGACCCCAGGCTCCCCCCACGGCGGAGACACTCACCAAAGTCGCTGGTGTACGCGGCCAGCAGGAGCTCAGGGTCACTGCAGGGCCTGCAGGCACCTGACATGAAGGGGACATGGTGAGGGTAGGTCCTGCCTTCTCCTGGACCACCCTAGGCCACCCCCAGCTGGAGGCAGGAGGGAAAGGGCAGGCCACCAGACCCTCCCCTGCCTGATGGCAACTGGGGACCCGAGGGAGCATGTGGGCACCTGACACTTGAACGCTCACACATGCACAGACATGGGTCTAGGGGCTGTGCCCAGCGTACGGGCACGAGGACTCACGCACCGGGGGTGGGTGTCCAGGGGCACACTCTCACACACCCATCTTAACATGTGCACACCAGCACACCCCTGTGGCTTCCCAGAGCTGTATCCTTGGGCCCAAAGACACCAGCCCAACCCAGGTGGGTGGCAGGAGGCTATCGTGAGCTTTGGAGTCTCTGGCCTGGGGCCCAATGCAGAACAGAAAGACCCCCATCCCCTGTGGGGTCAGGCTCCACGTTCTAGGAAAGTAAAGAGCTGGGCCTGGTGCCCTACAGGGAGGCAAGGCAGCATCTCCATGGTGACCAGACACACACTGGACTTTTGTTGTATTGGACTGGGGGAAGGGAGGGAGGTCACTGCTGGGCCAAGGAGCCCTGGACAGCTTTGGCTAGAGGCTTTGATTCTGTCTCCCCTCAATCATCCCCTCCCCCCACCCCTCAAGGACCAAGAGTCCTGCCTGCCCTTTCCCTAAGCTGAATCCTGAGGGATTGCCCACACCTCTCTCTGTCTCTTGGACCTGTCCTCACTAGCTGTGTGATCTTTAGTAACCCACTTCACTCTCATGCCTCAGTTTCTCTCTCTGTACGATGGGGATGACAGGCGCATCACCACCCAGCCCATCACTCACCATCAGCACCAAGACCGTGGGCCTGTGGAGGCAGTTCTGGATACCTGTCCTCGTGCATTTCAAAGCGGAAAGAGGCCACGCGGCAGCTGATGTCTGGGTGCGGGGTGGCCTGCAGGAAGAGGGACCGGCGCTCACGAGGACCCACAGCGCACGCATCGGCCCCGCGCTGGGCCCAAACCCTCAGCCAGCAGCAGCTCCAGGGCGCCGCCCGCCCGCCCGCTCCGCGAAGACTTGCGCGCCTGCGAAGGGCCGCGCCGGGCACAAGGAAGGCGGTGCTGGAGCGCCTGAGGGAGTCGGGAGTCGGAGCTGGCCAGGGTCAGGCGCAGCGCCCCGGCCGGGTACAGCCACTGGATCACGCCCTCCGAACAGGCCAGGGACAGCTGCCCCACGCTGCCCGGCTCCTGGGTCAGGCCGCTGGGGACAGGACAGGACGGCAGGCGCTGAGGCAGGCGGCTCGCGTCCGCCCCCGGCGCAGCCCCCTCGTCCTGCACCCTCCCCCGAAGCCAGAAGCAGCTGCGTCCACTTGGTCCTCTGGACCCCGGCGGCGCGGAGGGGCCCCACAGCCCCAGAGCGCGGCCTTCTGGGGCTTCGTACCTGCCGCTCCAGCCGCAGCGGTCCTCCGAGTAGCCGGCGCAGGTGGCGGTGGCCAGGAGGTCCGAGCAGAGCGCGCGCCCAGCAGCGCAAGGAGCGCCTTGGCGCGGCCGGGGCGGCGGCGGGAGCACCCCGGGCTCCGGCCGGCTCCGCGCACCGTTCCGCCCGCGCCCCAGCTCTGCCCCGCAGCCCCGTGGGGGTCAAGAGCGGGAGGCGACGGGCCGGGCACGGCCAATCGCGGCGCGGCCCAGGAACTTTCCACCAATCGCAGCGGCGCTCGTTCGGGCGGGAGGCCGAGCCTCGGCTATTGTGGCGCGGAGGACAGAGCTCCAGGTTCTGTGTGCTGTGTCGCCCTCTCGCACCCCCCGCCCCGCATTGCCGTATGCGCCCTTGTCCTCGAGCCCTTGGCCGGGATAGGGGTGGGAGTAAAGCCCACTGGAACCTGTCTGGGGGATAGGAGGAAGAGCGGCTCATCTCGGGTGGCCCTTTCCAAGAGTGGGCCCTGGGCTTCCAGTCTCCATGCTGCCCCAGTCTGGCCCTGCTGATTGGTCCCAAGAGATGGCACCTAGGGATGAGAGGCCAGATGCTGGGCCCGTGGGCACCATGGAGAAGCAGAAGCCAAAGGGCAGCCCTGAGCTCCAGAATCAGGCCCCCGGGAGGTCCAGACAAGCTGAAATGGGGCCAAGACACGTGAGGCTGAGGGGAGTGTCTGGGAGCCCAGAGATTTCCTGGTAGCAAGGACTTCCCCTGAGGGGGGGGTGGAACAGAGCCAGATAGGCACTGGGGAGAATTCCAGGCAGGGGAGAGGAGCAGACTGCCTAGGCAAAGGCCCAGAACAGGGTGAAATCCCTGGGTCAGATCACTGAGGCCCTCGGCACAAAGCCAGGAGTCCAACCACGTACTCCAATCCTTGGGGTCACTGAGAGCTTTAACCAAGGTCTGCAGGAAACTGTATAGACTCTCTGCCACCTATGGGTGTGAGCCCTCCACCCCACTATTCGCCTACCCCAGCCCTGCAGCTACCCCTGAGCCTGAAGGGCATGGCTGACAGATGAGGGAGGTGGCCCCAAGGGGAAGGGTGAGACACCCACAGGCTACAAGAGACCCCTTGCTCTGGACAACGAGAGTGAGGAGGTGCCATCACAACAGCTACAGGGCAGGTGCAACCTCAGTGTCTATCGACAGATGAATGAATAAACAAAATGCGGTCTGTCCAACAGTGGACTATGATTCCACCTTAAAGAGGAAGGAGATTTGGGGGCACCTGGCTGGCTCAGGTCGTGATCAGGGGTCCTGGGGTCGAGCCCTACCTCGGGCTCCTTGCTCAGTGGGGAGCCTGCTTCTCCTTCTGCCTGCCATTCCCCCTGCTTGTGCTCTCTCTGTGTGTGTGTCTCTCTGACAAATCAATAAATAAAATATTTTAAAGAAATAAAAATAAAAAATCTAGGGGCCCCTGGGTGCCTCAGTTGGTTAAGCATCTGTCTTTAGCTCAGGTTATGATCTCAGGGTCCTGGGATTGAGCCCCACGTCCCAGGCTCCCTGCTCAGCAGGGAGTCTGCTCCTCCCTCTCCCTCTGCCGCCCCCCCACTCGTGCTCTTTCTCTCTCTCTCGTAAATAAATAAAATCTAAAAAAAAAAACTATTAAAAAATTTTTTTAATTTAAAAAAAAAGGAAGGAGATGTAGACACCTGCCACAGCACGGATGAACCTTGAGGGCGTTCTGCTGAGTCTGGCAATCAGCCAGACACAAAAGGACAAATACCACATGATTCCACTGCTAGGAGCCCTGGAGTTGTCAAGTTCATAGAGACAGAAGGTAGGTGGTGGGTGCCAGGGGCTGCGGCAGGGGGTGGGGAGAGGGTGTGTAATGGAGACAGGGCTTCAGGTGGAAAGATGGAAAGATGGGCCGTCTGCGCAGCGATGGGAATGTGCCAAACACTACTCAACTGTGCACTTACTTAAAAATGGTGAGGATGCGGGGCGCCTGGGTGGCTCAGATGGTTGAGCGTCTGCCTTCAGCTCAGGTCATGATCCCAGGGTCCTGGGATCGAGCCCCGCGTCGGGCTCCATGCTCAGCAGGGAGCCTGCTTCACCCTCTCCCTCTGCCTCTCTCCCTGCTCATGCTTTCTCTCTCTCTCTCTGTATCTCTGTGTCTCAAATGAATAAATAAAATCTTAAAAAAAAAAAAATGGTGAGGATGCATAATTGTAAAAGTAGAGTAAAAATGCAAGAGGTAGACAGGGCCAGTGCTGGGCACGTAGAAGGTAAAAGAGGCGCCAGGAGGAGGAGGAAAGAGGGCACTCCGGTCAGCACCACAGCTGCCCTGGTCGAGGGGCACGTGTCCCCTTCCCACCTTCTGACCAGGCCTTGGGACCCGAGCCCCTGCCCAGGTCTCCGAGGCAGATGGTGGCTCTGGGCGCCCTCTGGTGGCAGTGCGAGGAGTCACCCACCCCGGCCGGCCTGGGGCCCCTGGACCCCCTTGCCAGCTTTCCCGCAGAGAATGAGTCCATGCCTGTGGGTGCAAGGGAAGGGTTCCTGGCCAGGGGCCTGGTCTGGAAGGGGCACGCACGTGGCCCTGGGCCACTCCTCATCACCAGGCTTCCCCTGCCCAGGCCTCTTGCCCAGGGCCCGTGATAATGCCAAATGTCACCCACAGAAAACCTGGACAGGGGCCACCTGTCTTCACAGGTGCTGTCCCCCAACAGCAAAGCACCTGGGTGGCGTTAGCCATCAAAGATCTGCTGCCCACGGGACAGGGAGCCCAGAAGGCCACGCCTGCCCTGGATCGGCAGTGACCAGACACACTGCAGGTGCTCAGTAAACACACGGGCAAGGAGTGTGTGCACCAGTGAGCGAATGGGTGAGTGGATGACACCCCAAACCATAGGCAACTCCCCCAGTTTCTATGCTCAGTATGGGGGCTCCTTCACAGGCCCTGGGCCAGAGGCCTGGGTCAGGGTCCTGACCCTCCAAAAGGGCCTCTTCATTCCCACCCAAACCCTAGTTCTTGGCAGGGGCTGCAGCTGATGCTGGGGCAACAAGCTGCATCTCAGTTGAGCCCCATACTCCAGCAGGGGGGTGACCCCAAACGGCAAAGGGCACCTGACTGGAAGCCCGCAGTACTGGAGGCATAAGGAAGGAGCACTCATGACCAAGGCAGGTGCTGAGCTGGTCAAGGACCTGGGGGCAGGGGGCGACAGGAAGGCGGGGCAGATCTGATGGCTGATGAGGGCAGGAAGACGGCCCAGGTCCAAGAAACAGGGCGAGGGTCCCAAGGACAGTATGGAGCTGAGGGCAGACCAGGAACCAAGAAGGTGGCCAGTGAGAGAGGAGTGGAGGGCCAGCCCCAGGCCCATCGGCCATGGGAGAGCTAGGACTTGGCCTGGAGGAGACAGTGAACCAGGCTGAAATGATGAGAAAGCCCAGAGAAGGAAGTCAAGGTGTTTCTCTTGCATGAGACCCACGTGGGCTCTCCTTTCAGCAACAGCGGGGGGAAAACAGGCCAGCCCTGACCGAGTCCCCAGCTGAGCCCGTGGCCACCCAGACCCTTGCAGCCAGGACCAGCTGAGTGTGTGCTGCTCCAGCTGGTCCAGAGCAGCGTGCTGCACCCCTGGGGTGGGGCTGAGGGCTGGGGTCAGCAGAGACCATTCCCCAACTAAATGCCAGGGGGTGCCAGGAGCTTGCCAGCACCTGGGCCGCCCAGTGATGGGCTCTGGTGGTGCCCGCCATGAGCACTGGCCTGGATTGCCTCTACCCAGCTTGACCCAGGGAGTCCCAGGGTTCCGGAGTGACCAGCCTGCCCAGAGACCCATTAGGGACATGGTTGTGTCTGGCAACTCCTCTGGCTCCCCGCCAGCTGCACCCCATTCCCTTGACCCTCACCCCCAGCGGAACCTGGCCTTGCCCACCTATGGATGCTGTATCTGGAGACACGTGGCAGCAAGGTTCCTGTCATGGGGATGTGTTCTTCCCTGTGACAAGAAATCCACCCCCAACACACCTTGCATCTTGTGGAGGAGCCAAAAATGCAGCTGCAGATTGATTTGCAGCTGAGCTAAAAATAACCGCTAGGCTCCAGCCAGGGCCCAGGAAAATATCCCATTGCTAGGAGACAGCCGTTCCTGGGAGACGGCCATTGCTAGGCGACGGGGTTGCCGTGGTGACAGCTGGGCCCTGAGTCATGCTCCACCCTGGCCGCCCCACCCCTCTGCCCCTGGCGGGTGGGGCCTGGGTCCGGGGAGGAGGAAAGGTTGGAGGCAGAAGCCGGCAGGCAGCCAAGGGGCCCACACCCTGATGCCCACAGTCACCATGGCCACCCGGGCTTCCCCGTTCTCACTGCTGCGGGCGCCCACTGTGGCAGCTGAGCGGCGAGAACAGCTGACCGCACCCCCCGTGCCCCACACGGTCCCCCCACCAGGGCCTGGGGCGTGGGGGCAGGGAGGGTTGCAGTGTCCATCTGGCCCTGTGCCTCCACAGCAGGAGGCTTCACAGTGGGCCGTTTACAATCAGGCATGCGGCTCTCACCACCTATGCTGTCCTAGGTGCTGCGCTGACCTTCAGGGCACCCCCGGGGACCCCAGACCTATTTGCCAGGAGGGGAAGTACTTGCCTGAGCACCCCCCATACCCCCATGGAGAGGAGGATTTGAGCCAGGCAGGTGGCTCCAGCGCACATGCACCCAGAGCCCCCCGAGCAGCGGCTTGAGGACCCTCCTGTGAAGAGCTTCAGGAAGTCCAGAGTGGCTGCCCCAGTCCTCAGGAGCCATGAGGCCTGACCCTTCACGGGCAGCCCCAACCCCTGAGGTGACAGTGGCCCCCTCTCTCATGGGAGGGTCTCAGGGTGGGACGCACCAACAGCCTTTTGCTCCTCACCCTCCCATGACTAAAGAATTGGAAACCTCCCGCAGTCTGCACTGGGGAGACTCCTCCGTGTCCAGGCATCAGGACAAGGAGTGCTGCAGGTGAGGTGTGCTCCAGGTGAGGAGTGCTGCAGGTGAGGGGTGCTCCAGGTGGAGAGTGCTGCAGGTGAAGCGTGCTGCAGGTGAGGGGTGCTCCAGGTAAAGGAGTGCTGCAGGTGAGGGGTGCTCCAGGTGAGGGGTGCTCCAGGTAAAGGAGTGCTCCAGGTGAGGGGCGCTCCAGATGAGGTGATGCCAAAGGTGAGGAATGTGGCCCTGGTGGCTGAAGTTCCAAGAGCAAGGGACCAGGTGTCCGGCAAAGCTGCGGCCAGTGGTGTGGGAGACTCAGGCTTTCTCGGGTCGCAGCAAAGAGCAGACAGAGCCCTGGGAGCATGGAGGCTGTGTCTACACTGCCAAGCGATGCCCCTGCGCCGGGGAGAACGGGAGCTGCCCATTGGCCGTGGTGGAGAAAGAGAAGCCGGATGGTACAGGGCAGGGTGACAGCGGTGGGGAGGGGGCGGCGCCCACAGGTACTGGGGAGGTTACTTCCACATTCCTCCAAAACAAGGTCTTTCTTTGCTCAGATTCGTCCAAGGCGGGGAGACTTCTCGGGCCCCACTGAGGGCAGAACGTGCTCTCTGCCCGAGGCCCTGGCACCTGCTGAGGGACAGAAGAGCCTGGAAGCAGGAGGTGAAGCCCTGCCCTGCTGGTCACCACCCCCACCGGGGTCCACACGTGTGGAGGCTGAACTGGGAGGTCAGCCTGCTGGACCTGCACACCACAAGTGACTGTACGGGTCGGACAACACTGTCCCAGTCACCCCAAAGGTCTTCACGCATCCATTCTGACTGCCCACGCCAAGCTCCCTGTTTTGACCAGAGTCCGCACTAGGGCAAGACCGTGATTCCTCAGCCCCTGCCACACGGGAGAGCTGCCTTCACCCCAGCCTTGGCAAACTGGCTCCCATGCCCTGCACACAGCACAGGCGGCACCCAGCTCCCAAACAGCCAGGGTCCAGCCAGCGTGGCTCCCCCCACCTCACGCCAGCCCCACTGGGTCCTGCTTCCCCTCAAAATGCTGTAAACACCAGTTATTTTCATTTCTCTCACTCTCTCTTAGGGGCTTCCTTAAGGCTCTTTCCCTAATGT